TGGGATCCTACATGAGATGACCTCAGCGTGGCATGCTGTTTTAGATCAAGGCACCGCATTTATGACTGCTTTAAGTGTGCAGATTTTTGTTTATATTAACCTGGTATTTTTTTTCCTAGGGTTGCATTTTATAAACTGTAGAAACAGCCCTTTTGGCATCTCTGGCAAATTTGCTCTTCACAGGAGTTCCAGGGAGCAGCTAAGGCCCTTATTAGCATGCCTGAGTTCAGTGTAGGCATGACTGGACAGAATACAATGTACCACATTGCACAATGTACCTGAAGCAATTTGAGTTTCTCTTGGAAGGTGGAGGGAAAATATAACTCAGATTTATCTAAATTTCATTAAGCAGATCGTGGTGGGAGGGGAGTTACAAAGAAGTGGATCAGGACAGCATTTATGAGGGCGCTACATTAAGAAAATAAAATTCTGTGTTTGAAATCACATAAGTGTATGAGATATATACTGTGTAGAGTAATTAAGATATAGGGGTAGCAGTGAACTAAGTTGATAAACAATAGTGGTTTCCCTTCTCTTGAGGTAGTCCTCAATCACACATTCTAAGTTTTAAGAGTCTTTTTATTGCCATTTGGAGCAACACAGATCTTGGCTCTGACTTTGGGGAAAAAACCACCCCAGCCCTTGAAATAAACTTTGTAACTATGTCACATCATTCCAGATTCTGAATGGTTAATTTAGAAATGTTACTTCAGTCTCAGCACACACAAGAGATTCCCCCACGTTTCGTGTCACTTTCTAATCTTCTTAAAGGGCTCCAGTGGATCAGATCGGTCGGCAAAGCCTTGTGTTTACAGAGCCATCGTTAACAGGGAACAAGTAGAATAAGTGAACACTTTGAGCATAACAGAAATGAATTATAAATCTAATTGCTTCATTAGTGTGGTGCTCTCCTACTGTTCTTGGTAAGACTACCTAAATTGTCCCATGTTTTGATTTTAACACTAATTGCTTTAGGCAAGGCGTGCATTACATTTTGCAAGGCATGTGTGGTGGTATTGCAGAGTGAGTGACAGTTTTAAACGCTCAGAAAGCAAATTGCGGTGGCTAGTAGAGAAAGAGTAGACTTAATCCATGCGTTTTAAAGGAAACCTGTGCAATGCTACTCAGCCACTATAGCCAGGAATTACCAAGTTTGGATCAGCTGACCATGTGGTTACAGTGAGGGTGAGCAAGGAAACAGTTATTTTGGGTAGTACACATGAGGACATGTTACTTTGTGGCATGTACCTTCTCTATAATTGTATGAAAGGCCTTATATTTGTATTTTTTGCATACCTAGAAAGAAAAACTGACTAGATTTGCCACGAGAACAAATTCTCCTGATAGTAGCATGATTGCTACTGCAGTAATGTGCTGATCATTAACTTTTCTCTCAATTATCTACATTACTGTTCTTTCCCCCTTTCATGGAGAAGAGAAAGGAGACAAATCGTCTGTACTAATGCACAGATTGAAGCAGGAGTGTAAGCAAGTAATATATTGACACAATAATGATATATCTGCACATCATTACTCACAATAACTACATCCAAAATTAGAATTAAGAAGCTGTTTGTATGGATGTTTTGTACAGATCAGGTGGGTGTTATACTGGGACAAAATGCTCAGTCCCAGGCCTTCCTTATGAATCTTTTGCTGGAAGCAGTCTCCTGTATGGAAAGATAACACTTTAAAAGGACTCATCAGGTTTAGTAACTGTTTGTTTTTTTTAGAATGCTTTAATGGCCACACACACATATGCATAAAAGGTTGGGTTGTACCTTTTCCATTTCTACAAGATTCGTCTGAGAGTTCTATAACTGCCTCTGAAACTTGCCGGGGCCTGATTTACAAAATTGCTTTAGGTGGTGCAACAGAGACTGAACTGTTACTTGCTAAGTATTCAGTATTGCTTTAACTAAGATACAATAGTAATGTAGCATCCATAGTATGAAAGTTAAACAACAAAGGATAAATGGGTTCTGTTACACCTCTTAGTTGGAATTTTTTAAAAAAAAAAAAAGAAAAAAAATTAGTCTGGTCATAGGCAAAGAACATGAATGGAATATATTAATATCACTGGTGATCATTTTTGCTAGAAACTTTGGTCCATCCTCAGCCATACACTAAGGAGAAGCTTTCCATGCTGTGCTTTACTTTCTATTCATTACTTTCTATTTCTTGCAATATAAGCAACGATTAAGGAATGAGTGTAGCTTTGTGAGTTACCATTATCCTTTTTTAAAAAGCACAAATATCTTCTCTTTGCACTTTTTTTTGCACTAACACTTTGTACTAATACCTCTTCAACTCATAGCTGGCTTTATAAGGTCACCTCTCTCTCAAAAGAAACTGACAGAGGAAAGTGTGGAACTGCACTGTGAGGCTATCGGCAGCCCCATCCCAGAAATCCAGTGGTGGTTTGAAGGAGCTGATCCCAGTGATACTGCCATACAGCTGTGGGATGGTGCCTGGCAGGACCGGGTCAGAATCAGCGCAGTCTACCAGCAGCACTCCTCAAGCACTGTCTGCATCAGTAACCTCATGACTGAAGACTCTGGCACATATGAATGCCGGGCCAGCAACGACCCTGATCGTAACCACTTGTCGAAGAGCCCCAAAGTCAGATGGATCCGTTCCCAGGCGAATGTCGTTGTCACTGAGCGTGAGTGGCAGACCTAAGTGTTGGCGTTCACTTGGGCCCAGAAGTGTCTCAAATGTTACCATCCCTGTGCCCACCTCCCCTTTCATCCGTGTCCTGTGGCTTCCCAAGACCCTATGTGCACCTCTCCACCCAAGCTTTCCAACCCTTGAGAATCCCAAAGGGATCTGCTATAAGCCTTGCTCAAAAAAGGGCTGTAGCATCTCCATTAAAATGTTTCTCCTGACGATCCTGCCCTTTTGGGATCTGTTTGAATGCTGCCTTTTTCACCCTGGCGCTCCTATTAGAAACAGAGAGTAGGTTGCCTTGGCTCTGCTTCCGCCCGTCATTTCCAAACCTTTCCTTCTGCTCTGATTTTTCTTCCTGTGTATGTGCAGTTATGCTTTTCTGCTTTCCCACTTTACAAGGAGCACAGTTTGTGGGGTGAGTTGAGACTGTGTTTTGCTTGTTGTAGTCGCAACCATTTCTGAAATGGGCAAACTTTCTCTTTGTCACCCAGAGAGGGGTCATATGCTTGGTTCTTCTTGGCTGGGGAATGACCAGTCAGCGACCTTCCTTATGCAGAGCTGATAAACTACATGGCTAATGGCTGAAACGCTGAATTTGCATTTACAGGTTTCAGTTTGGATTTATATGCAAGAGTGTTTTCACTCTTGGTTTTTAAATTCTCCTGAGGTTTCTTGAAAGCGTATCAAGGATTTCTGAATGAGATCTGGAATGACTTTCTCATTCCTGATGCTAGGATACATCCTTGGTTCATATGAGGTGATGGGTGCAGCCCAACAAGCCTAGCCAATGTATCATATGAACTAGGTCCATGCTGTAGAATGTGCTTCAAAATCCTTTGCAGTAGACTGGCTTTACTAGTAGATGTTCAAGGTATCTGTGTGAGAAACTGGTCCTTAACTGAAGGAAGTTTGCAAATCACTGTTCTGTTAATGGCTTATTTTTTAAAAAAATGAAACAATTCTTGATAAATGGAAGCTCTTATTTTTAGCAGGTAAGCCTCAGGAGCGTATTTTACCTTATACCCTGTCTCATGCATGGGAAATGGCTGAGTTGGATGAATTGGCTTGATTATGTAAGGTAAAATGTTTGTAGCAGTATTTCTCTTGAAATGAAAATGGTAATTAAATATGACAGTTGGCTTGGATAAACTTCTTTCAGTGCTCAAAATGTTTGTTAGATGGTCAGGTGAAAGCTCAGTGCCTTTTTTGAAGGTGTAAGTTGCACACTCACTACATTTCATACTGTTTGCTTGCAGTTGAGGGGATGATCTTTAATTAAGTATTGAACTCGAAAAGAAACTAAGCATGAAAATAGCCATATACTCCTCTTGGGTACTCTGTGCATACGAACTGGGGTGCGGTAGTTCTATTGTTCCTCCCTAAAACAACGCCAAGAAAATGGCTATGACAATTATCTCTTTGTCCTTGACTGGCTCTTGTTTATACCTCATCAGGTGAGAATTCCTCCTTCATGGCAGGTGAAGGCTGATACACTGTGTTCTGCCATTATTAAACCTGTGAACCTCATGTAAGCACATGCCTTTCTTTGCCTAGGTAGGCAATGAAGCCTGTAGGAAATTTGCAGTTTCCCCAGTCCCTGTGGTTGAGCTGGGCTTAAATTCTTTATGGGGACAGGGACAAATATCACCTACTGGCTGCTGATTGCTGCTTTTATTTCTTTTCTTGAATTGGCTTAAGAACCTTGACGTAGTTTCTGCTGCTGGCCTGAAATTGAACTAGACAGCCATTTAAGTTTTTTAAAAAATATACACCATTAGCGCACAACACTGAGAGAACAGAGCTAGATATTTCTCTGTGGTGATTGTTCAGAAAGGAGAATATTGTGCACATGTATTAAGCAGGAAAAAAGCAAATACATTTACTCCAAAGTCACAAATAAAGCACCCAGAATGTTTGAACCATTCAATAGGTCTGTATGCATAGATACACTATTTTATTTTTATTCTGATAGTTGTATTTGTCATTAGTTAAGACTAGAATAATGATATGCATAGAAGATGTTGTGCTGCTTAGAAATTATTGCTTCCTAATCTCTTTCCCTTCAAATCCATCTGATAGTTGTATGGATGTTAAGTCCATGGTGTTTCATGATTTGTACAACTTGACCACATTGTTTAAAATCTCAGAACCTTGATTTTAATATTAGGAGTTAAGTGAAGTTATTATGCTACAACCAAGCTGCTTTTCCTAGGCAATACAGGTGACTGAACCCTGTGTCAAAAGGTTCTTTTCTTCGTTTAAGAGGTGCTAAAATATGCTGATGTGTCTGTGATATCCTAACCTAGTTTTATTTTCTTCTTAACAACCAGGGCCCAAAATCTTAACCTCTCCTGAAGTAACTGCTGGATCAAATGTGGTTATTTCATGTAACATAACTGAAGTGCCAACAGCTGTCAAAGGCCATTACTGGATGAAAGGGGAGACAAAGCTTGACTCCAATGAGACTACTCTGGACTTTATCTCATACATGTAGGTGACTTTAAAGTAACACACATGAGTTAAGTATGATGTATCTCAGATCAGCAACATCTCCAAATGGAAGATTTCCTCCAAATGAAGAATGGGGAAACCAGTTTCTTTAGCCCGCATAACAATGTACAGTGTTCAAAGAATTGTATTTCACAGTGTTGCAAGACGTACCTAAAGTCAAACAGAAATTTGATTTCAGGATAATCATTTGGAAGTAAATTGCTGTCTGTTTCATGGAGATTATTCCCTAGCAAGTGTGCACAGGATTATAATCTGTCCTTGGCACTAAAAGAAGTTAACAATCATTTCCTGCTCTCCCCTCCCTGGAATCTTGCTAGTTGGGTGGGGAAGGGAGCAGTGGCTTGTATGAGTTAGCTTAACAGCAAGCCTGAAATGCATTGCCTGCAGAAACAACAATTCTTAGCTGACTGTCACTGCACAGAAATCTCTGGTGCTTATCTCAAATGTTGGACAGTGCTGCCTTCTTTCTAAATTAGGGAGTGGGGATGGGTAGGTGTTCTTCACCTGAGAACAGTGTAACACACTGAACTCAGTGACAAGCGTAGCACACAGAAATGGGGAAGTGCAGTCCACAATATATTGGCTTTGTTGATCTGGTTTTAATCCAACTGCTAAATACAGTAAAAGCCCACAGTATTTCAAGGGTGTGCATCTCCTGAAAAGGAGGAAGCACACTTCAGCCAGCAACTTACAACAAGAAGAGAGGCTGTATAGTATTAATTACTGAAGGTTTATCCATCAAACTGAATAGAACAAAAAGAAATCCCTTGGGAAGAGGGTGGTATTCTACCAGCCAGGCAATCAGTAGAAACTTGCCAATCAGGCCACCTTGAAGAACAATGCCTTGTGCAGTAAGCAGGATGCACAGTCTTAGAGGGAGTGGCTGGTTTGCTATCCGAACCAGATCTCTTCTGGTTTGTTCTTTGGTTACATCTGCTCATGGAAGATTCTTGGACATCCAGGATTGCCCTATTCACTATTTTGTTTTACTGTGATAACTTCCTGGAACTTTTCCTCTCAAGAGTCACAGGCCTGGACCAGAAAGTTTGAATTAAGTGTGACTCAGCAGGTTTCTGGGCATCTGTTACACCCTTTGGCAGAAAATCTAATCCAGCATTTCCTAGTGTTGTTCTCCTAGATGATGCTGGAATGTAGGTCCCATTACTCCCTGACCATTGTGTTTGCTGGCTAAAGTTGTAGTTGGGCAGTATCCATTCCCAGTTTTCCCACTGTAAAGGTTTGTGTGTTCTACTTATTAGCTCCTGGTCTGTTATTTTTTTCCCTAGGATCCCCAAAGTGGATCATCAAACCTCGGGAGAGTACCACTGCATCTTTGAGACAGTGCCCATCTCAAAAGGAACTGTGTACGTGAAAGGTAACTGTTGTGGATGCTTCAGTCCTCGGCTTTTTCTCTTTCCTTTGGTGAAGCTGTATGTAGAAGAGAAGGATTTATTTCTTAGTGTTGCCAAATCCATAGGGAACAAGCCATTGCTCATTGGTTCTCCTAGCTTCCTCTCTAGACTGAGAAGGAAAGGACCAGCTCCCCATTTTTCATCACCTAGAGGGGACCATAAAGGTATCGAAATATTTCTCCCCAGGAGGACCTGAAGGAAACCCAAGCATTTCCAGGTAGAGCAAAAAAACTTGTGGAAGCCTGTTTCCATTGATGTAGGCCAGCCTGGTATCCTGTAGGTAAACTGGGTTGCAACTTTCATACTGAAATTACAGGATTCATATCCCAATACATCCTGAGGACACTAAACTGGAGAAGGTTGATACGATAATGAATTAGATGAACTTCCCGCGTTTTCCCAGCATTGTGCAAATTTGTCCCCAAGAACTAACTCCTAAAACTTGCAGAGAAACCCCTTTTTTGTTGCCTGCTGGCAAACTTTGTTCATGGTGGATGATCAGCATCTCCTCTGACCCCTCTTTGAACTGATCATGATCTCCTGCCTTTCTGGTCTGTTGCAGTTCAACCCTACGTGGTGGCCTACAAGAAGACAGAGCACGGAAATGAGGGGGATGTAATAGCACTGACTTGCAAATGCAATTCTTACCCTCCTGTAACCCAGTGGACTTGGTACAAGATGGTAGACCAGGTGCCTCAGGTTAGTGCCTTTCCTGCCATGAACACTACATCCCTCTGGCTCATCCAAAACAGATACAGCCTTGCTGCTCATGGAGAAACCGTGTTAAGAATCCACATGCAGCCCCTCCAGTTAGGGGTCTTGCTTCAGGGATTGCGTGTTGAAGAGATGAGCATGCATGCCTATAAAAAGAAAAATACACTTGAAATCAGGTAATAATAACATTTGCTGTCTCCTGCTGATGACCAGAAACCTGGTGCCTGTTTTTAAATAACGTTACTCTGAGCTTAAGGGTTAGTGATTGCTTCAGTATAAAAAGCCAAAATACTTTCCTTTTATTTAAGGGATCTGGTTGGCCACTAACAGAGCTTTGATCCAGTAGATTCCTTTCTCTGATTGTACAACTGGCAGTTTTTTCCAGCTGGTGACCAGAGTGCATAGAGCTGTGGGGCACATGAGAGCAAAAGGGGCCCTGGTTTCAATTCTTTTCGTGTCCCTGGAAGGGCTTGAAAATCAGTGCCGCAATACTAAGCCAGATGAGGCAGTGATCTGACTAGCCATAAGGAAGCTTCCTAACTCAGATTTTCAGGTTTGGTGTCCAGACTGGATTGGACATTTTGTGGAAGCTAATGTTGTGGACTGTTCATTCTGAAACTGAGTCATCTTCAGTGAGACCTTATAAGGCTCTGTCTGTGGCTAGTCACCCCCCCACCTTCTCTCCCCACTCCTCCAGCCTCTTGTCAACGGCACTGAGGACCGGTTCTACATTAAATCCAATGGCAGCAGGACAGATCTTCGGATCCTCTCCTTGAACCTTGAGAAGGACCCTGGAAAGTATATGTGCAACGGCAGCAATGAAGTGGGTGAGGGGAGCGCTGTGGTGGACCTCCGGGTGCGGAGCCGCCTGGCTGCTTTGTGGCCATTCCTGGGAATTGTGGCAGAGGTGCTGGTCCTTGTCACGATTATCTTCATCTACGAGAAGAGGAGAAAGCCCAATGAGGTTCCCGATGGTAAGGCGCTTGGGGTGGGGAAGAGAGAGGTGACTATGTGAGTAGTGGAAATATGTGGCTTCCTCCCAAGTGCTTATGAAGACTCTTTTAACGGGCTTTGGCTTTTGGTAGTCCTCACGTAACAACAGTAATTGGGACCAGAATTTCCATCGCTAAGCGGTATGGTTGTAAAGCGTGACATCACATGACTGCATCACTTAGCGACGGCAATCCTGGCAGTCCCTGTTGCCATTGTTAAGCAACAGTCGCAGGTCATTAAGCGAGGACCTCATGTGACTGTGACTTGCGACTTCCTGCTGGCTTCCCCCGAACAAAGTCAACAGGGAAGTTGGCTGGAAGTTGCAAGTCCTGGGAGGCTCGCAAGGAGGCTAGAGGGCGGGTGAAAATATGGAGTGAGGCGGGGGGTGCACAGCGAGTATGTGCAGGCTAGGGAGGGGTTACTGCAGTGCTGCTCAAGTGTATGCGGCTAGGGAGGGGCTGCCGTGGCACCGTGTGAGCATGTGTAGGCTGGGGAGGGGATGTGGCATGGGTGCACTATGGAGTATGAGATCCCTGGGAAATTGGTCTCACGGGGCACGACAAGTTCATTGGTCTTAGGCGTTGTGGAAATGCTGCTGAATGAGACTTTATCTGTTCCCTTGTTCCTTGTCTCATGTGGCACGGGGAGAAAAAACCTTGCTGCATAAATCAATTGGCAGGAAAGTTTCAAGTCCCTATCTTGGCCATTGTCAGCCCTCTCATTTCACTGCTGCCAGCATCTAACAGTTTGTTTCTGCTGTTATGGAGCATTCTTGTTAACTGTTTTTCCCCTCCACATGTTTGCCATTATTTAAAATATTTTACTTAAATACCTGAGATGCCTAAGCTTCTAAATGTTTCTACCTAAATCAGAAATCCAGTATCTCTTCCCGCCCTGCCCCCCACTCTCTCCTTTCAAAAAGAGCTTTCTTTGCTGTGGAGACCTAAATCATCATTCTTTGTATTTTTGTTGGTACGCAGCAAGACATTCCTCACTTTCTCCACCCTCATACAGTTCCTTAAAACCCTGCTTCGTTTGTCCATGCTCTTTGCAGCAGTGCTTTGAACTGAGTGGGAAGGTAAAACAGTAGATCACAGAGGAGGAGCGGTAGAAATCTTAGAGGGTAGGAAGATCTGTCGATTGGCTTAAAAACTTGTAAATATGGCATCCTCGCTGGCATTACCTTTGAACTCAATTCTTTCTTGCTGCTGCCCATTAACCCTTTGTGGTAAATGGAAGAGGAGACTACAGCCATCCCTTGCCCTGGTTGTCTTGCATCTGTATATGATCTGCTCATCACACCCTTGTGCTAATTTCTAATAACAGGGTAGACCCTTGAGGGAGGTGGAGTCTCTTCCTCAGAAAGGGACAGTGTTAAAAGCTGGCGTGGGATTCTGCAGACACCTTTCTCGAGGTGCTTTTTCCTATGCTTTTATCTTGCCTGTCAGTGGATATTGTTGTTCTAAGTTTTTGGAGGTCCTCCTTTGCTTATGCCTTCAAGAGTTCAGCTCTTCATGCTGGCTTGCATGTTTGGCGAAGATAACTGCCACCCCCATAAGAGCTGGATAATACAAGGATGTACTTTCCCAGATCTTTATGTTAATGTCTTCTCATCTAACCAGCTTCCAAATGGGTATATCCTCATAGAATAGCAACTTCAAAAAGGAGTTTCCCAAACAAAAAATCTGCATGCTGTACAGGTCTGCCCCCCCCCCGCAAATCAAGAAATTGTTTAATCATGACCACCTCAGTGATAGAATATAACTGCAGATCCTTTTAAGGTTAGGTGGCTATTTTAATGCTAATAGAAATAAGCCACAAAACTCATTCAGGGTCTCTGACAGCACCACATTTGCAACAGGGGGAGTATGTTCTGTTTTTCTACCCCACTGGGCACATATGAAATTCCAGTCCTGCTCTGAAACTTGGGTGAGTTCTACAGCCTGCTTCTCTTTTTTTTTCTTCTTCATGTGGCTGATGCACAGGGGATTCGCATCTGCCCTTGAATTGATGCCAAGTAACAAATGCTCAGAGCTAAATATCTGGTCAACCCTTACAAGTCTGGAGTTTAACTCCACTGACCAACCTTCTTCCTCCCAGTTCTAAACATCATCTTCATAAGCTGACACAGTGTAAACAAGCTTCTGGTGTGAAATGACAACTCCCTCCTGATTTTTGTACCTGCTTAGGTTCAGATCCCCGGTTCAAAAAGGTGAAAAGAATCTGCAACACCTAGCTGATTTTGAGTGTGACAAGGTAGTTAAAGGATAACTTAATCACATAAGTTGAGCCCCTCCCCCAAAGAAACAACCGAAGGAAGAGTTCCCACCTGTCCCACAGTGGAACTCTGTCTCTCGTGAGTTGGGGGGGAGTCCCACAAGCCCTTTGCAGCGTGTGTACGTATGCATTCCAGGTAGCCTAGAATAGCTTGTAGCAGATGATCTGGGGACGAGGGAGAGTAAGTTGAGAGAGTACGATGTGCCTGTCAGCCAGAACCTGCTTCTGACTTCAGTCTTTCTTGTTCTCTCTTCCTCTGCTCAAAGATGACGATGGAGGGTCTGCACCACTGTAAGTATAGACAGACTTTTCTTTTTCTCCCGGGGAACCATTTCCTGAGGCTTCACGTGGGTGGGAAATTAGGCAGCTCGCTGGACGTGCCCAACTGCAGCTGCCTGAGCAGGCATGAAGACTCTCCGGGAGGCTGCATTGTTCCTGGCAGAGCCAGATGCCACCTGCTGGTGCTGGCAGGTCATGAAAGACAAGCAGCGGGAAGCATGGATGGGGGAAGGCTCTCCCCACGTGGCCTGAAGTGAGGATGGGGGTGTTAGCGGGTACTTGGATAGCAAGGCTTGGGAAACACAGGGGCCTGATTGGCTACTGCCAGACCAGATTGCCTTAGCCTTGGCTCAGGAATGTCGGGGGGCTGCCCCTGGTGGTGGTGGTGCAGAGAGGTGCGGGGGGGGGGGAGCTTGCTGAGGGGGGGGCAAGTATCGGCGTACATCCTGGACTCCAC